CTTCAAAAGAAAATTATTTCAGGGAGGTAAGTCAAAATTATCATTATTTTTTGAACATATAGCTTTAGAGGGGATAAGTGACTGCTTCATTGTTACACTGCTGGTTATAGGTGAGTTTCGGCAGTGTCTTCCAATTTCTAAGATACCTTTTGCTCTTTCAATTTCCATAAAGAAAGTAGCTAATGCCACCTTTGGCCCTTCCTTTATGCATAACACTTTGGTTCATACCTTTTATTTAGTCTTTCTTAATCCTTTGAATTTTGGCCCTTAGTTCCTTTTGAACAGCTGTTTTCTGTGAACTTTAAGGACAGATGTCAATATGACTTCAGAGTTTTGGGGAATTTGGGTCTTCGCCAGGCTCTAAATCCAAATGATAGTTTTCTTGTCTACCCATCTCCATTCATCTTTGCAGTATTTGATACTTCCTAGCAAAAGGAAGATCTGGGTAAATGACCAGCACTGAACAAATGTCCACGCTCACCTTCACAGTGCAGCCTTCTTTCTCTCCCCAGCTCTTTTTAAGAGTTTTGTTTCCTTCCACCCTTTTATTCAAACATTGTGAGTACCTGTGGACATAAGTGAGCTTACCAATATGCATAGCAATTGTCCATCTTGAAGTGTTGTTTCTAGTAATGAGAGTTAACTATCATAAGTTCATGTACATCAATATGTCGTTAGATAAACACAATTAATCATGTTTTAAATGATAAAGCACAAACAGCAGAAATCATGTGGGTGGTGGATTTTATCAGTGTTAATTTGTTTGTTGTGATACTGTACAACAGTATGAAAAATGTTCCCACCAGGAAAACTGGATGAAAGGAATATGGAATCTCTGATTTTTTTTTTTTTTGGTGGTTCTGGGTTTGAATGCTTGCTAGGCAGGCTCTCTATCACTTGAGCCATGCTCTCAGTCCATTTTTCCTTTAGTTATTTTTCCGGTAGGGTCTGAAAAATGTTTTTTGCCTGGGACCAGTTTTAGATCTTGATCATCTTACCTACATCTTCTAGAGTAGCTGGGATTATAGGTGTAAGCCACCATGACTGGCCTCTGTATTAGCACTTAAAACTCCATGTGAACCTGCAATTATCTTAAAATATAAAACTAAAAAATGTTCAGGTAAGGAATGGTGGAGGGGGTGAATTCAAATGATACATTTGATACATTGTAAGAACTTTTATAAATGCACAGTGTACCCCCCACACATCACAACAATAAATAAAAAATATCATCCATGTTCAGATTTCCTTTTCCAAGGTCATCCAAGTGTCATGATACAAAGGAGGAAATGTACTAGGGAAACTACCATCTCAGGCAGACTCTACCATGCTGGTCTTTGGAAGTAGTATAGGGAAGTCAAGATGTAAATGGATAATGGTAATCTGGGAAGAGAAAGGTGACAGTGAGCATAATTTAGCAGTGAGGTTTGCAGTATTATCGTGACTATAAACTCCATCTTCCTTCAGTTGCCATGCTTCTGGTCAGCCACCTGCTGCAGGCTTATATATTTTTGGACAAGAATTATTTAATCCATGTGTTTGGCTGGTCATTGCGCCAGTTTCTAAAGCTAAACCAAACATGCTGTCCTTGTTTCCATCCCATCTCTTTTCTGGTCTTCTGGCCTTCCCTTCCTTTCCCAGAAATTCTTAAGATCATTGACTCTACTGACGGAAGTCAGGCTTCTGACCAACTAATAAATAAGTTCAGCAGTGAAAAGCCTATTTTTCATTCTGTTTAATTACAGGTTTCAGAGACATTCAAAATGGAGGGTGTCTAAGGGACAAATAATACTGTAGGCTTGGTTTACTTTTCGCCTGTTGGCATTGGCACTGAGCCCTTCTTCCTCTGCTTTGAAATTCATGGCTGTGACGATGGCTGCATACTAAACAGATCATGGGCACCACACAGCCTGTCCAGATGCAGCTCAAATAATCCATATACCTTAACGGCCAAGTCAGCACAGTAGTTTAGTTAACTAATATGGCTCGTTTGTTTCAAGTGCAATCTATGATTGTGATCATAAATGGGTTCATATATTGTCATTTGACTTGGGTTTGGTGAAATACACTGGTGCTTGAGCTGCAATATGCTTCTATAGTCTGGATGTTTGGCTTCAAAATTGGCCCTTAGAAATTATGTATGTATAAAATAAGTATATAACATATAGACATTGTGCAATGTATATATTTGTGTGTATGTACATCCATACAAGAAACTTAATGATGAGAAATGTTCCCCTTCCACTGTTATTTTCTTAGTCTTCCATTCCCTTTTACAGAGACAACCACTGTTAATTGTTCCATGCAGAGCAATTCTATGTTTGTGTAAGTATATATGCATAGATTTTATATAGAGACAAAGCATTATAGCTATATCTCCTTATTTTGTATAAAATGTACATGATATACATAATGTTACATAATTTGTTCCTTTCATTTAGTGATAATTTTTAGAGACCTCTCCACATCAGCACCTGTAATCTTCCTCCATCTTTTAAAACAACTTCTGAGATTAATCATCACAGTTTCCTAGTATTCTGTTGAATGGATACAATAATTTTGTATTTTACCATTTTGATGGACATTTGCTGTTTCAGTGAACAAAATTGCAAATGATTATTTATGCCCCATTTAGGTGTTTGTTGGATGCATTCTTGGAAGAAGAAGGGTATACTTCTTTTTTAGTTAATAGATAATGCTTAACTGTCTTCCAAATAAGTTATGCTATTTTCTCAACTATATGTGAAAGGATGTTTCTCCATATTTATTCCTCTCCACTATATTGTCAAATTTAGTATTTTCCAATCTGATAATTATAAACCCAAACCTGGAACTGAATGATGTGTAGGAAAAGAAGAACAAAGAGTATTCACAAAGGGTAGAAAACTGAATAAATGTTCCAAGTATGAGATTCTATTTTTTAAAACCCCCAAAGTCCCTGGAATAATGCATTTCAATGTTCATAGTTATTTAAGCAGCCAACTAGCTTTGCAGGTCAGCACTTAATGGCCTTTACAACACTACAAAGTTTCTGATCTTAAACTTAAATTCATTGAACTCTTAGTTCCTGTGAGCATGCACCCAGCATTCCTTCCCCCAGAACACACTTTATTAGTCACAAGGAGCCATCATTAATTCATGCTGTGGTAGGGAGCAAAACATAGAGAAGCTAACAAGTGCTGAGAAAGAAAGATAATCAGAGTCAGCAAACAACTATCTCTGAGCAAACTGTCCTTTAAATATGTCAAGTTCCAGACCTCTCAGTGTCACTTCTGTGATCTCACCAACAGGAACCCTGTGTTTGTCACTATTTCAGATAAACAGCTCTCTTTTTGGGAGATGTCATGAGGTACTCTCAGGATTTGATTTGCTATAGATATGGAAAACAAAATATCCATGACATTCGTCTCATTTATTCTTTCTTTAGTTCCATTGCTGTCTAAATAATGTGATACAAATTTAATCTTTACTTCACTACGTTATGCTGTAAATTTTTTTCAAAATCAAAAATGCTATTGACACAGAACAAAGTGCCATGACTAGATTAATTTAAGTAATGTTTGCTATTGGCCTGCAACCATATTTGAATCTTAACAGTTTTTCAATGCTGACCAAAGTAAACAAAACTATTTTTGGTTTTATTTGGTCTCCCTGCTCTAGCATCTCTTTCTGACCAATATCTACATCCTTATGTTTGTGTTGAGTGCATATATCTGAAAGATTTAAGAATAAAGCAAATTAAGGCCTCCCTCGCCATTTCAGAATAACCTGAAAGTTTAACAGCTAATATGCTGGCAGTAAAGTAGTAATAATGAAATAACATGTACTCCTTGCTAGAGTACAACCTGCAGGGAAGACTAAGAAGTGACTTGTAAGTGAAATGCTGGTTTTATTTATGTGTTAAGCTACATCCCTAATGATTGCATTTACTCATAAATAAAGTTTCTTTATGGACAAAATTTGAATGTTCATTTTCCTCTCAGTTAGTATGCAAATCTGTTTGCAGTATTCTAGCAAAAGAGAATGCAACTCATTTTCTGTGCTTATAAATTGTTCATTACCATGCTCTCTGATGACCAATTCATGGCTGCATCTTCATCTACACAAATTTCTTTGCCCAGATAAATGTGGTGGAGTAAATGCAAGGTGCTGAAGAAGACATTTGGTATTAAGAGGAAAATACATATCTCATACAAAATTTCCAAGTTTATCATTTTTAAGTTTACAACTTACTTATACTTATGTTGATATGCAGTAGTCTAAGGCAAAAAAAAAAAAATGCTTCAACTGACCTGATCAGCCCAATTTTGAAAGCTAAGTAGAAGTGACAGTTAAAGTTTGTCTTATTGTACACATAAGGCATTTTAGTTCATAAGAACAAACAAACATGCAAATACATAAAGTCTCTAGATAAAGGTAGTTTCTTTCCTTGTGATTGTAGATATGAACTGTTGTAATCTATAAAACTAAGATGATTGTTCAGGGTTTGAGTCTCACAGAGTTATTACTTTCCCTCTTCTTTGATAAATTTCAACAGGAATGTCATGGACCTCAGGGTTAAAGCAAGTTAATGTCACCCTTCATAAATATATTTAACATCCATTAATACCAATAGGATTGACTTCTTATAGGGACCTTTGTTCCTTTGCATGAAAATAATACAAGTGATAAAGCTCCTTCCTTCCTCTAACTCAAATGTGAAAACAAAGAAAAATGCAAGGTGTACAAAAGCTCTTTTGAGCAAACAAAATCTGTTTATAGAAAAAACAAAAAAATTTTCAAATCCATCTATAGTGGTATGGAGGATGGGAATCTAGTTCACAATGTACATCTCCTGTCATTGCTATGTTTAAGAATCTATCCAGAGAATTTTTCCAATTAAAACTGTACACCAACAATAAACTGTGCTGCAGAGCTTTTAATTAAAAAAAAACAAAATGAAAAGATATAAACCCACATTGTCTCTAGGCACTGTTGTATTAAAGGATTAGAGTGGCGAGATGTTTGGATTTTATTGTTCTAAACATGTGTTTCACTTGGTGTTCTTGGATCTGCCACGTGAAGAAAATGAAATGTAAGTAAATAGCAAGAGATTGCATATTATTTAGCATTCTAAAATTTCAAAGTATCAAAAAGGCTCAAGTCATTGGAAAAACTCCAATAGAATTTCAAATGATGGTTATACTCATGTAAAAAAATAAGTAAATAGTTCTTAAATGCAGATGGCTCAATTTTTCCAAAACTAGAAAGCATAATTTCCAGTTTGATCAGTTTTGTTAAATAAATAAGAGGCCCAGTTGGTGATGTCTAAGTATTTTTGCTCACTGAGTTCCCCTCCCTCAAGGTTTCAAGGGTACCTTAAGTTTATGAAGGAATCATGACATCATCTACAGTTGCATCCACACTCATAAGTCAAGGCAATGACCGGAGGCAGTTACCTGAATAGTTCAGTTTTGAATACAAAAACTAAAATTCTAACCTGTATTACGTGCACATTTCAAAGTTCTTTTGCTATGAATTATGTGAGTAACTGACTCACTTTTCTCACTTTTGGTGTTGCAGACTTAATGGCTTTCAGAATTTTATTTTTGAGATGGGGAGAGATGCCATTAATAATGCTGCTGATGATTAATGGTAGCTGTAATGCACTGTGACTTAGTGTAAGTGTCAGAAAAGCACTTCTGCCAAGTGCTATGTTCTGGATGCTGCATTGTCTGCCAGCCAGCTGCTTTCAATTATCATTGCCTATTACCCTCAAAGCCAGGTTCTGTGCACACTGGTTCCAAAGTAAGAGACCAAGCCAAGTGGGGTGATGTCCTGGGCCTTAGAATCATTCAAGTATTTCTAGTGGATCATCTTGTTGTTGACAATCTGTTTATTAAACGTCTGCCACTCTTTCAGCTTCTTCATGGTCCTCCATTACTACTTATTTGCATGTATTTTTGGATGTTTTCTATTGTCTTCTGCTGTTTGTTATGTACAGTTTTAGATTTGTTTGCTTTGCTGACTCTGGATTTCATGGCTGCCCTCATCTTGCCTCTTCATTTTCTGTCTTTGACCCAGAATAATAGAATAAAGAATTCATAATTGGAAAGGCTCTTAAATGTTGAATCTAACTGTCTAATCAATATGGCAGGAAAATATAATAATAGGGAACTTTTATGCTTCTGAGGTTACTGGTTTCCTTTTCTGGTAAAGAGATTGAGAACCAGAGAGAAATAGTAAATGAATTGCAGATGTCAACTGGCACTTAGGCTCAACCTTTTTTGGCTATACCATTATGCCTCTAAGGATCTGTTATATATATCATTATTTACTTTCTTTAGGGGTTAAAATAAAAACTGCCTCAAATAAAATGCAAATTAGCAAAAAATAAAAAGATGGACAGAGAGTGGCTGATATTTTAGGGAAATAATATAAAATAAACAATTGTATTGAAGATAGACACAAATACATCAGGTTTTGTTTTTGTATAATGCAGTTAGTGGGATGAGTCCATAATTAAAGGCATGTTATTTTCTAAAAGTATAAAAGCCCTACACTCAAACAAGATTCTCTTTTCCTACCTATATTTATTCTAAGGATTTTCAATTGAGGATTACTTCTTTAGTCTGAGATATTAGCTCTGTGAAAATGTTTCCTGGCCAAGAGAACATATTATCCTTTACCAACACAAACCTACGCGATTACAGGTAAAAGGACCCATAGAGATGGCCTAGTCCAAATATCCTTTAGAAAGGAAAAAGATAAAAGAACAATAACTAGCCCAAAGTTCATGTGCAAAAAGGGAGACTTGGGCTCGAATACAAGGGTATAAAACGAAAGAAGTAAAGGGTTGCCCAGGCAGAGGCAGTGTGTGGGGAAAGAGATAGACAGAGGGTCTCTGATTAAGCAGAAAGTTTTTTAATTCATCAACTTTTTTGCTCCAAGAATTTGCAAAACAATTTATATACATTTCAGTTTTTAAAGAAAATTCTGATCTATCATTAATTCTATCTAAATTTATTTTCAAACACCAGACTCTTTTTGTGATTTGATCTACTCATTTTACTTTTATAAGTACATTTTAGTATGAACAATACATTGTTATGCTGTATTTGTATAACATTTAAATATTATAAGTAATTTATTTTATATGAAATAAAATGATGACAGTCTGCTCTGATTACATCTTTAATCTGTTTTGCTCTCCATAACCAATTACACTAATGTAGTAGAGAACATAATAGCTATTTACAAAACTTGAATTTACAAAAAGATTCTATAAATTAATTGCATTAATATACTTCCTAGTGATATGCCAACATTTTATTTGGCTCAGCAGGTTAAATATTTTGTTCAAGAAGAGCAAAACAGGCAGGTGTGGTAGAGCATATCTGTAATCACAGCACTCAAGAGGCTTAGGCAGGATCATTGTGAATCAAAGTCCAGTCAATATTTACTTCTAGAGAATTCTGGCCTCAGAATTTATAGTACTAAATACAAATCTAAGCTCTGCCTTTCATTTGCTTTCCTTCCCCATGCATCCTTTTATTTTCTGCAAACAGTCTCTACAGCCCAGACGGGTGAAATACATGAAGGATATACCGTCTGTTCATTTTTCTACATGCTGTGCAATTTATCATTCATTTCTGCATGATATGATCTGATATTCATCCCTCCCTCAAATTATTATAATTAAATTGTACATTGTCCTATATTGAGAAATAATTTTTCAAAACAACAAAGCCATAAAATCTGTTATTCCACTTACACTAAGAGTACTATGGTAACATTGTTCTTATTGCTACAATGTTCTCTTTGTGAGTTCCATAGTTTGAGTTTTTCTCTGGTTTCTACACTAGGGATAGTTGTGTATCTGATGAGTAATGCTCTTAATTTTGCTCGTTTTAGAGGACACTATCTAACTGTTTCTCTAATTCTATTAGAAGACCAGATCTGCTGTTCAGTTCTAACTTTACATGTGGGATTATTGCAAATGTTTTCCTTAAACAATATAGTCTACTATCATTCTCAATTTATATATATATGTACATATATATATATATATACAACCTTGACATCTTAATTTGAGTAATTTCTGAATAACTTCATTTTCATAAACAAACTTTTCCCCAAATCTTACATTTGAAATTTCAGTAAATAAGATACTGTTACAGTTCAGACACTTATTGTTTGGTGATACTGGCGTTTGAACTCAGGGCCAAGTGCTCTACCACTTGAGCCACACACCCAATCCCCAGCCCTTTTTGCTGTACTTATTTTTTCTGATAGGGCCTTGCATTTTTGCCCAGACCAGCCTTGGACTGTGATCCTCCTACCTACCCATCCTGTGTAGTTGGGATTGCAGGTGAGAGCCACCATGCCTGGCTCCAGACATTTTTTTTTCAAGAACTTGAGTTATTGTTGAAAATATGAATTGAGAAAGAAATGGGAATTGTGGGAATTAAGATGAAGAAGAGCGGTGATATAGAATCATAAAATCTGTATGCTAGCTTAATTTCCTTGGCCAGCTATTGGCCTCCCTACTGTCTTTCCCTACGCTGGATCTCAATGATACATTGTATAAAATTCTTAGAGTGAAATAAATGATCCCACAGGTGCCAGAAATTCTGACATTACAGGATAACTTTGTGTTTCTCCAGCTAACAGCAGCCTGCCACTTTCTTGCTTATCAGAACCTCCACCAGAGGGTGCACAGGGTTCAGAAAGAGAAAGTGATGTAAGTCAGCTTGGGTTATTGCTTAGCACAGAAAACAATATTCAGTGACTCAAAACTTCAAAGTAAGAAATAAAATGAAGTGTTTAATATTTAGAATTGACCTTAAATTATATGGAATATCTTAAAATGGAAAAAGAGAAAAACAGAGATTTATGTATGGAAGTTGATAAAATAATCCACATTCCTAGAGTTGAACTTAGATGTCAGATTCAAAAACAAGAATCTTCTGTTCTTTAATAGGGCCAGGACACCATGAAAATTTCCCTATAATCATCTGTTAAGTGGGATGTTATATTTTAAAGGAGGTTATATTTAGATATAGTGTTTTAATACTTTTTGACTGTGAAAGTGATGTACGTACATTACGAACACTATAAAAATCTTAAAAGGAAAAATTTCCTTATAAGACCGTATCCATGACAAGTAAGTTCTGTGGTAGTTTGTTGTGTTTCTATTTATCTAATAGTTATTTTGGTGGCATTATTTATTTGTATAAAAGAATACATATAAAGAAGGAATGAGCTCTCTAGGTTGTTTTTCTTAGTAAGACTTTTAATTATAAGCATAAGTCTACTTTCTTATCTATGATGGCATAATATTCTCTTATAAGGATGTGGCATTTATTATTTTTATTCTTTATTTCTGGGTGTACTAGGTACATGCCTGTAATCCCAGCATTGTGAAGGCTGAGGCACGAGGGTCATGAGTTTGAGGCCAGTCTGGGCTACATAGTGAGACCAGTTTGAAAATATTTTTTAAGAGGCAAATTAATTTTTAAAAATAATGAAAACCTTCACTGATGGTCACTTGTCTTAGGAAACTTTCTAAAGTTATACTTGAGTTGCCTTTTTTCTTTCCTCAGCTACTTTTATTTAGGAACTTTGCTAACCCCTCTAGGTACTCAGAAAAAAAAAAGAAAAAAACCAAAAACAAACAAAAAACACAAGCAAACAAAACTTCCTTGTCTGGGTGACTGACTTTTGTCTTCAATGTTTTGGGAAAAAGATTTAGACTGACACTGCACATATGTTAAAAAGTCACTTCTGACTAGGATAGTGATGGACACAGTACCCCCTGAGAGATGCTAGGAGCAATAAATTAATTGACATTTATGAATGCTTTCAAGCTAAACAGCCTTGAGTGTCATTTTTACAATGGCTAAAAAAAGATATTATTCACTACAGCTCCATCCCAGAGGCATATGAGGCTCTGATGAACAGATTTCCACAGTTAAACCACAGGATACCTTAACAGTGGCCATATGCGGAGGTCTGAAAGAATTCTACCTACAAAAGTTCTTTCAGTGCATAATGGCGGGCATAGCAAGGGACTCTGAGATGACTAACACACACATCTCTATACCTGGGGAGTTAAATCCACTGTGAACTTTGTGTGTATTTGATCTTTTTAAGACTATCTAGGCAATGACCTAGCTGTGCCTAGATACACAAATGATTTGAGCTTTCTTACTGGAGAGATAAACATCCACCTCCTGGTAACTGATATGCATGACCACATTCATTCGCTTTTCTCCTAGCCTAATGTCTTTTCTTATCAATTGTCTAACCAGAAAGGAGCCAATTGTCCAATACTTGTTATTTTCTACCAATATATTAAAAGTTAATAGCAATTACTAAACTTCCCTGGAGAGTTTGGATTGTAAAGAACTGTAGCTACTTCAATAAATATAATGGTAGAATGGTTATCTGCCTAATACCTCTGACATGTTGGCCTTAGATTGTTAGTCAGTATCTTCTCAATACACAACAGTATTTTGTTATATATCTATTACAGTGAGCTTTTAAGTTTATAAACTTATATGCCTAATAGATTCAAACTTATCTGTATTCTCAATGCTTTGAATAGAATAGACACAAGGTAAATATTTCCTTAATTGAACTAGGAGAAGATGTATGTGTTTGGGGGTTGGTGGTAAGAAAGTGATGATTCTGGGGAAACAGATGTGATGAATACAAATTTTATGCCACAAAGAAATAGGCAAGATCCAACACCACTTCATGATAAAAGCTCTAAGAAAACTAAGAATAGAAGGAATGTACCTCAACATTGTAAAGGCTATATATGACAAACCTACAGCCAACATCATAATTAACAGTGAAAAACAAACCATTTCCCCTAAAATCAGGAATGAGACAAGGGTGCCCACTATCCCCATTCCTTTTCAACATGGTACTAGAATATCTAGACAGAGAAATTAGGCAAGAAGAAGAATAAAAGGAATGTAAATAGGTAAAGAAACTGTCAAAATATCCCTATTTGCAGATGACATGATCCTATACCTTGAAGACCCAAAAAACTCTACCCAAAAACTCTTAGTCACCATAAACAGGTATAGCAAGGTGACAGGATACAAGATCAACTTACAAAAATCACTAGCTTTTCTATACACCAACAATGAACAAACTGAGAAGGAATAGATAGAAGCAATTCTATTTATAATAGCCTCAAAAAAATCAAATACCTAGGAGTAAACTTAACAAAAGATGTGAATGACCTCTACAAGGGGAATTACAAACCCCTGAAGAAAGAGATTGAGGAAGACTACAGAAGATGGAAAGATCTCCCATGCTTACAGACTGGAAGAGTCAACATAGTACAAATGGCTATACTACTGAAAGCAAGCTACATGTCTAATGCAATTCCCATCAAAATCCCAGTGACTTTCATCACAGAGATTGAAAAATCTACCCTAAAGTTCATTTGGAAACACAAGAGACTGCAAATAGCCAAGGCAATATTCAGCAAAAAGAGCAATGCTGGTGGTATCACAATACCTGACTTCAAACTATATTACAAAGCAATAGCAATAAAAACAGCATGGTACTGGCACAAAAACAGACGTGAAAACCAGTGGAACAGAATAGAGGACCCTGATGTGAATCCACACAACTATCCCACCTTACTTTTGACAAAGAGGCCAAAAATATATGATGGAGAAAAGACAACCTCTTCAACAAATGCTGCTGGGAAAAGTAGTTATCTACCTGCAGGAAACTAAAACTAGATCCATGTCTATCACCCTGTACTAGTATCAACTCAAAATGGATTAAGGACCTTAATATCAGACCCAAGACTCTGAAGTTAGTACGGGAAGGAGCAGGAAACAATCTGGAACTAATAGGTATAGGCAAGGACTTCCTCAATAGAACTCCAGCAACCCAGCAACTAAGAGAAAAGGATGGACAAATGGGACTTCATAAAACTAAAATCTTCTGCATGGCAAAAGAAATGGTCTCTAAACTGCAGAGACCACCCACAGAATAAGAGAAAATATTTGCCACCTATACAACAGACAAAGGACTGATAACCAGAATATACAGGGAACTCAAAAAACTAAACTCTCCCAAAATCAATGACCCAGTAAAGAAATGGGCAACTGAACTGAACAGAACTTTCTCCAAAGAAGAAATTAAAATGGCCAAAAAACACATGAAAAAATGCTCACCATCTCTAGCCATAAAGGAAATGCAAATCAAAATCACACTAAGATTCTACCTCACCCCTGTTAGAATAGCCATCATCAAAAATACCACCACCAACATGTGTTGGTGAGGATGTGGGGAAAATAGAACCCTTGTTCACTGCTGGTGGGAATGCAAGCTGGTGCAACCACTCTGGAAAAAAATTTGGAGGCTTCTTAAAAATCTAAGCATAGATCTGCCATATGATCCAGCAATCCCACTCCTGGGGATATACCCAAAGGAATGCAACACAGGTTACTCCAAAGGCACCTGCAGTGCTATTCATAATAGCCAAGTAATGGAAACAACCAAGATGCCCCACTACTGATGAATGGATCAAGAAAATGTGGTATTTATAAACAGTGGAATTTTACTCAGCCATGAAGGTGAATGAAATCTTATCATTCACAAGTAAATGGATGGAACTGGAGAACATCATTCTGAGCAAGTTTAGCCAGACTCAGAAGACCAAAAATCGTATGTTCCCCCTCATATGCAGACTTTAGATCAAGGGCAAATACAGCAATGTTGTAGGACTTGGGTTACATGACAAGGGGAGAACATATACGGGAGGTACAGGTTTAGATAGAAAACCCAAAACATGAAAGCATTTGATGTCCCCACTCCAGAGGAATTAATACAGAAACCTTAAAGCAACAGAGGTCAACATGAGAAGGTGATCAGGAACCAGTGTAAAGATCAGTTAGAGATGAATCAACCTGGGTTGTAACACATTTGTACATGAAAGCAATGCTAGGAATCTCTGTATAGCTGTCCTTATCTCAACTAGCAAAAATGCTATGTCTTTCTTGTTATTACTTATTTCTACTCTTCAAAGGAACTAAAGAAAAGTGCAGAACAGGTTCTGCCTGACAGGGAGGGGGGAGGGAGGTAGAGGGTGGAGGTGGGGGCAGGAGGGAGAAATGACCTAAACAATGTATGCACATGTGAATAAATGAATAATAATAAAAAACCCTAAAAAAAAAAAAGAAGTAGGCTTTAACCATTTAGAATTCTAGTACTTACTACTCTTCTTTTATCACCAGGTGTGTAAATTATAATGATCAACACCCTAATGGCTTATACATCTGATAAGAATATCCTCAATTTGTTTTATAAAACATTTGGTGGCATTTACATTCTTGTTTTCCCAAAAAACTTGAGACAGAACTTGAAATTATACAGCATAAGGAAATTTTAGCGGTCATATGAATCATTATATATAAAACATCACTTGAAGTTTTTAACCATTGTTTGCTTAAACACTCCCTACGACAGTGCACATATTGTGTTTAAGAGTAAGAATTAACTCCGCTGTTGGAGATTGCTAATGATAAGATAATTCTTTTTCCCCTTGAAATGGTTCTTAATGACTCTTCCAAAGATTGCACCTCTGGCTATAAAAGCCATTCAAAGTAAGTTGCTACACGTTTTATGAGATAGTCCTTCAGAAATTTAAGTTGTTATATAACTTCCTAAATCTTGACTTTTGTATTTTACAAATTTAATAACAGTTCTATAAATTAGATAGCTAGCTTCTCAAAGGCAAAGACCATATCTTCTCTACATTTGAATTCCTAACCTTCACATTTAAAATATGTTCATTTGCTTAAATACCTGTTGACTAAATGAATGCAACCTTGAATGAAAGGAAGGAGAAGAAAGTAGGGAGAGAAGGAAGGAGGGAGGGAAAGAGCAAAGGAAGGAGGGAAGGAAGAAAGAAAGGGAGACATCAATTTTTTAGAATGATCTTTCACTTTCATAGAAATAAATGGTTATCAGCACTTGGCAACATCAATCATTTCTGAAGGCCAACAATTCTTTAGGTTTAGTGGCAAGGTAGGATAGCAGGAGATTGCTTAAAGAATTTAGCATTGCAGTTTTCTTGTACCCAAGCTAGCGGAGTCCTTGTCCACTTTCCAGGTAGTAACAGAAATCCTTAACCTCCCATTTGCTCTACTTCAGTCTTCTCCCACTACTTTTGATGGTAGGTTCTTACTGCTGATTTCCTTTGTGAATCTTCTCTATGTGGTAGTCCTCTTCTGTCTCCAATGTTGACTAAAGAGACCCAGAATTGATTCCCCAAGACACACTATGGCAATTTTTGCTGTTGGAAGCTTGAACCCCATTTTTGGTAAGCTGACTGCACACTTCTGGATTCCTCATCAAAACCATGAAAAATTACCTTCCACCAAGAAAATTTGTAAACTTAGAACAATTTGTGCTTATGGGAAACTCAAAGGCACTCACTCAGGGAAGAGGTTATATGACTATACTTTAGAAGAAAGGAACCCCCCCCGCAAAAGAAAGAAAATTTGATGTACTTGAAGTATGGGGATAGAAGCTGAACAGTTTGTTTGTTCGCTTACAAAACAGATACAGAGTAAGGGACACTCCAAATGTATGGTAGGGCTTAACGAGCTGAAGAACATCTTTGAGCTTTTGATATCAGTCTGTGTTATTCTGTGTTCATAATCACCTTCATTGAGCCTTCTATGACTCACTTAACATCTGAAATAACACTGAACTACGCTCTCCAGATGGGCTGCTCTACACGAAACATCTGAAATCACTGGAGTTGGGTGAGAGAGTGTGAGTCCTCATGTGCTTTTTCTCCAGACACACAGCAGCATCCTGATCTTGCTGCACTCAGCCCTTACCCTGTCCATCACTTTACAGTTTGCATAAAGGGATAAGAAATGGAGAAAACAGGTCTTAAAGTTATTTGTAGTTGCTATCCATCATGGTAAGGGTTACTTACCAATTTCTGGAAGGGTGCAGTTGATAGTTTATTTCTTCTTAAGCATTATCCTCATTCAGAGACTATTATGAGACTTTCCTGCTAAGTATTGTATTATACCTCAGCATTGTCTGAAGAGTGCTTGGTAAAAATTAAGTTGCCTTTCAGAAATGGGACTGCATGAGATTTTTAATAGTTGGAACAGGGTGTGTCCTAGGAAAAGCTAGCAAGTAAATAAAAAGGATAAACATAAACTAAAATGTTTTAATGTGAAATCTTAGCACTATAGGATTTAGTTATTTTCACTGTTGGCTTTATTGCCCCCCAATGTCATTACTTAGCAAGGAGAAGAAATTATCAATTTGGGAAATAGTTTTTTGGAAAGGACAATTAAATTCTACAACGACAATCAATCTATCTTATAAAATCAGAGACACTTTTCATGGAGCATAGAAGGAAATAGGGTCACTGACCTTCTAAAAATATGTTTGTCAAAGGGATATACATGATAGTATTGGCCTATTTTTCTTTATTTAATCAGAGATAGTAAGTGTAATTTTGTCTCTTCTGACTGAACATTTCTAAAGAGGAACAAGCAAACTCGTCTTCTTTGCACTTCTCTCAATCTGAAGCTGGCCCTTTCACTAGATTGCCTTATATATTAAAAGAAGTCAGCTTAAATTTTAAGTATATTATTAAGCTACCCAATTATGCTGTTATAATCATAAAGCAGTTTATGTGTTATCATTACAATTTTATTTGTTTTTCTACTTCTTTCATGATTGTTTACATAACAATCATAACCTCTTAAACTTGCCTGAACCAGGCATGAGTAGGGATGAGTATGGAAGAAGTCATATACTAATACATGGCTTCATGAATCAGCATATGATAACACTGTGTGTCAGGCATTAGAACACATTCTATATATTATTTAGAAATTATGACAAGAGAAAATAGGGGATGAAATTGTTTTCTAAAAAAATATGATCACAATTTATTGCACATCTATCAAGTTCTAGGCAATAGGTTGAGACTTTTCAGATGCTGTCTCTTTTTCTGAAATATTAAAGTAGAAAGTGGTCATTTCTCTTAGAGGACATTGTCTATTTCTGTTACCCTTCTGGATAAATATACATATATAACTTTGCTTTAAGTCAACTAATAGACTTCAAACTTTCTAGAATTATGGGTAGGGAGCTCATGAAAATTTGGGTTGGGCACTCATGGCTGAGACAGCTCAAGCCGGACACAAAGTACATCTCATATTCTGAACAAACAGACATTTCCATATAGTGATTCCTTAATAGTAGGGATTTGGTCCTAAATCTTCATTGCCATCCTCATTCTCTCCTTTCCTCCCAATCCCACTGGTATAGCCTCTGGATGTTATTTTGCTAAAGGAACATGTAAACTTTATAACAAAGCCTCTTTACTGCTGTCCATCTTGGAGGCTGTGAGTTCCATGCCTCTTCCTATTTATCCATTCTTGTGCCACATTAGCTTATCCCACCCACTGCCCATCTCCCATCCTGTCCAAGAGATGCTAACATAGCTAAGAAGGCAGTGACCAGCCACTCACAATCTGATTTGAATGTTGCTGCAGAGTTGTAGGTTTTGGCATTCTGTTTCTCTTCTCCAGAACCAAATTCAGAAGATCAATTTAGGAAATGGTAGTCTGTGATTCCCTAGAGTCTCCTTAAGTCTTTCCATAATTTCTGGAAACAAATTCCAAAGTCATATTTTAGGGCAATCTGAAACTGGAGCCACACTGGATTTATCTTCCTGACTGTATTTTTCCTTTACTTCTCCATACAAATAAGTCTTTCTACCTACTATTTCTATAAGGAGTTGCTCTCCAAAGGGAAGATGGAGAAGTACTCTAGGATCTTATCATGGCTGTAGAGGCAAGTGAGGGCCAAACTATAGCATCCACCTCCATAACGCCCACAAAGTATGTATTCATGGCTTGAGATTGAGTCCAGCCACTGAGGGATTCATATATCCACACTGAGGTTATGGAGATATATTTTGAACTTTCCTCACACTACTCAGAAGATGGAGAGAAAAATGAGAAAACATTTGAATGACACTGGTGACATATTAGAATATGAAATAGGGCTTCTGGCTTTCTGCCATTCTTTTATACACAGAGAGGAAGGTGAGATATTCCTCTCCTGAATATAGAATGTGTGAGAAATGGGTCATTTAAAACATTTAATGGAATCACTAGTTTTGATATATTAACATTGGGTTCCTCCAAGACCTTTATTTTATTCCTTCAAAAGTTATTTTACTTTAATATCACTACTTGTTGAATATTTAGTTGAAATAGCTCAGTCCTTCTGACCTAAACATCAGAGGTTTAACTCAATATCTCAGAGAAACTGCCCTCAAATAAGAAAAGCCAAGAGGAAAATTTTGGCTGAATATTAAAGGCTGGAGGTGACTGACCTTTACTAATGTTAAAATATATAAAATAGGTCATTTCTCTAAATTGCAATTCCTGCCAATATGATATGGCTCAAGTTGCCAATTATCTTGATTAGAAATACTAAAGAGAAAAAAGTAGCTACTTGACTTGGCATCCTTATAAAAGGGGCTTAAGGAAGGTTTTGGCAGTACAGCTCAACCCAATGTCTAATGAGACTTTAGTTCTGTGAAAGGTCCTTGGGATCTCAGCCAAATATCCCAGACCTCAAGAGCTTCTCCAGTGCTCATATAACTGGATCTTCCTTCACAGGATCCGTGTGCTTGAATGATGGGTCCTGGGCTCAGGGTTTCTCTAAATAGTTCACTGTGTTCTGTAGAAGTGCCCCTGGCACTTACTGCACTCAATCTTCACCTTCTATGTCTGTATTTGTTTTGTTGGAGCTCTTTTTCCTCCAGAAAGGAAGAAATAACCCTCTGATACCCTTGCTGTGGGCTGAGATGTGCATCCCACTGAATTCATATGTCCAAATCCTATTGTCCAGAACCTCAAAATAAGACAGTTTTTAAAGATATAGCCTGGAAAAAGGTAACTAAGTTAAAATGAAGTAATTGGAGTGGACCTTGGTCCAATATGTCTGTCATCCTTACAAGAAAGGGAGATTAGCACACAGGTACAGAGAAGACAGAGAAGAAGGGCATCTTCAATCCAAGGAGAGAAGTCTCAGAAGAAGCCAACCCTGCTGACCCTTGATCTTAGATGTCTAGCCTTGAGAATTGTTAAAAATAAATTTCTGTTATTACTTTGTTATGACACCCCTAGTGAACTAATATACTCTCCTTGTGAGGTAAGGTGGAAGAGGTGTAGCTAAAGAAAGGAAAAGGAAGGCCAGAAGAAAGTTGAGAATGTATAGAAAAAGGGAAATAATGAGCAAAAGAAGAGTTGTACAGTTTGAAGTTGGAAATACTTTAAGGACTAAAATTAAAATCGATTTTCTGGAAGTTGTGACATCATCTCATTTTGCTCAACTCAGGCTTACCTCCTCTTTATGGACCCCAGCTCCAGTATCTCCTAGGTAGTTCCTCTTCTTTTTTTATCTACTGTACACACACACACACTGTGTCCAGTTCTTCCTTACCACCTCTGCAGCAACCCCAGAAAATACCCATTCACTGTCTTTATGTCTTGCGTTGGATCATCCACAAAGTAGTTTCTGACATCTGACCTCTTCTCTCAGTCATCAGACACTAGAAATTCTAGAATTCTTCTGGCAGTGTTTTTCCAGCATCTGTGTTTGAGGCAAAATTATTTCTTGTTTCAATGAATTTTTTGATGTTCCTGCTTTCTTACGTGTTTTTCATTTTTAAAAAAATCTCAAGACCTCACCTATTTAAAAAATGTTCCTAACTAATAATAACTCAACAGGAAAACACAGATTTGTGATCAGTTTTCCCCCACTCAACCCAAAAATGTGGAACTGGAGATTGAGAATATACATTTGGCCATAGACAGTGACTTCTTAAAGGAATCTGCACAACATTTTAGTGACAGCAGGGAAAGAAGGATATATCCTAAATCTCAATATTTCTGATAATTATATTGCATTGTATAAAACCAAGGACTATAAAACAGAATGAAATAGATACAAATTACAAGTTATCTTAAAAAGAAGAAAGAAAGGATCTGTTTGTTTTATTTGTGTTTGAAAAGTAATGCCAAGTAAATTTTTAAATGTATTAAAAACTAATGTTGTTTTTATTTTAACTCATTGAGAGTAAGGATAAAGGTAAGACTTCATGGGAAATAAGACTGTGAAGCTGAATAAAGTCCATATTAATGAGGAAGTAGATATTTTAATGATAACAAAGGAAAATACATTTGGAGTTTGAGAGGTACATCAAGGATAAACAAGACGTGGGGTGGATAAATAGTTTAGATTCATTAGCAAAGAGCACAGGAAAGCACCTCCACCATTGTTTGGTCAGACTTTACTGATACATACTAATTACTCTAAAGTCTATGTCAAGATCCTTTTGCCTTCATTTCATGTGGTCTGTGGATTGCAGCTGGGTCCTGTATCCCTGAAAACGGCTCCTGCCTCCTGAGGAGACAGCAAGGTGAAGCCCACAGAGGAACTCCTGGGGACGCTCATTCTGGCTTAGCTTCTCAGGGCTTGTGTTCCCAATAATCCTTCCCTCCAATGATCCACTCTTCCTGACCACAGATCTCTTGCAAGTTCAAAGATAATTTACCCTTGTCCTTATTTCAGGAAAAATAGAAATATTGGTCTTGCAAAGGTGATTAAATGTAAGTGTCCTAAATTGGGGAAGGGATGGAGGACCAGAGAGAGATGAATAAGGAGCAGGTCTCACACACTTTGCTCCTTTCTTCCTCCAGGTCTCTCAGGATTCTTCTATTTTAGGAGCACTTAACCCTTTGTTTATGTTTTACATGTAAGTTTTCTGTGATTTGTTTTAGGTAAGGAAAGAGGGAATATTTCATTCACACACTTTCATGGAAGGGCAAGGTAATAGTAATGGTTTATACTTATTAAGCACTTACAGTGAGCTCTGATACTTTCAATCTCATTTATTCTTCTTACCACTCTATGAGGGGTTCTTAACACCCAATGATGAGGAGATGAAGGCATTTACAGATGAAACAACAGAGTAGATGGTAGGTCTATGACTCAAATTCAGGCCTTTTAGCCATATCCATATATAAGAAAGAGATGAGATAGAGAAGGGAAAGTAGACCAGGTATGGCATCACATGCCTATTTTCCCAGCATTTGGGAGGCAGAGGCAGGAGGATTACAAATTCAAGACCAGCCTGGACTACATAGCAAGTCTCTGTCTCAAAAAGCAAAAAGTATTAATAAAGTCAAATCCATTGGAATTATTCTTAATAATGTAAAAAATCTGAACTCTGACTATAAAATCTCAGTGGTATGTTGTTTCAATGATTTCGCCAGCAGTACTGACGAAATACGATTTTCACATTTTAAATTGAGTTCCTTTAGATTCTTGCTTTGTCAAAAGAAAATGACAATACCTGCTTCTTCACCCCAGTCACATGAAATTGAATGTAAACAGGCTTTGAAAAAATTGAAAACTGATATATGTTCAATATGCTTTCTGAATACATTGGCTTTGCTATGTTTTATCAATAAGTTATGGTGTTCATAAGAAGTTTAAGAGCAACAGCCAAATCTGTAGTAAGGAGAAAATAAAATTTCCCTACCACAGAGAGCAATTTTCAAGATCCTGTCACCTGGTGCATAATGTTGATAATGTCAGTACTAAAAAAAAAGAAAATTGGTGCTAACACAAAAAATAAATGTGTAGACCCAACTGGTTGACCACTTCCAGGCAGAAAGTTAGCTAAGTTACCATTGACTGTGTATTGACTACGTCAGGAGCAGTTTAGTAGGAAAACAACCAGTGTTCCATGCACACATTCACAATGGAAGGAATTACTGGGGCAAGGACATTTTATCAATGCTGCTTGTCCAATCAAGTTTCATGGAACTCACGGATCTATCTTAAATTTACAATTTGCAAACGGCTTTCCTTTATGATATTTTTAATTTAATAATTTCAGGTGTATTTAATAATGATAACCAAACCATTATTCAACCATTAAAATAGGATAGATATAAAAGTAAATTCATTGGCTGGATATGGTGGCTCACACCTGCAATTCCATCTGCTCTGTAGGCAGAAATCAGAAGGATTGCAGTTTGAGGCCAGCTGGACAAGAAGTTAATGAGATCCCATCTCAACAAATAAGCTGGGTATGGTGGCTCATTTTCTTAATTCCAGCTATACTGGAGGCTGTAAGTAGAAGGATTGAGGTTTGAAGCTGGCCCCAAGGCAAAAATGCAAGATCCTTTCTAAAAAATAAAGCAAAAAGGGTTGGGGGTTAAGGTTTAAGAGGTAGAATGTCCGCCTAACAAGCATGAGGCCCTGAGTTTAAACATCAGTCATATAAAAAAATTCACTCGTATCCTTAGCATGGTACAGGACTTGATACATAATAATAATCATATACCTTTACTGAAGACCAGGTCTCACCATAAATTCTGTACACTCATTTATTATTCTTATAGAGGTAGATACTACCATTGTCTTTTGTTGTGTAAGAGAAAACTAGGGTAAATAAATATTATGTAGTAGCCTAGGTGTGATTTATTCACTTAAATAAGTAACTTTCTAAAATAAGTAACAAACCAAGAGGGGAAACTTATATTTTAAATATGACTCTATCCTTCACATATTATAATACTTATAATAATTGAATTGTTATACTTTGCTCTGTGGACCAGCAAGATGAGAAATAAGGAAAACCACAAATGCATGAAAATCCCTGGTTCTAAGTTATTGTCCTTCACACCAAAGTAAGCACTGTGAGTGATCCGCCTGTGGATTCCAGTGGTGCAGCAAATGCCTCTTAAGTAACAACTCTGCAGATTCTTTTCATAATTGTGGCATGTTCTTTGGAATTTTTCCAATGCTATCAAATCTTAATACTTGAAGGAAAGTCAGTAAACTTCTTCTGCTAAACAACAGATAGGAAAAATTTTGACCTTGTAATCCCTGTGGTCTCCATGGGTACTGCTCACCTCTGCCACTGAAGTTCAAAAGCAGCCATGACCAATATGCAAATGAATGGGCATGGTTGCATCCCAATTAAATTTAATATACAGAAATGATCAAGGGCTGGATTTAGTTCAAAGACCTACTTTCTTCTTTAAAGATGAATTTATGGCTGTGACCATTGTTTTGAGAAGATGAAATCAAAATCATTCAAAGTCAGGTAAAGATCCAGGTAGAAAAATGTGTATAGAGAAAGAGGGTTATAAATTATTACTATTGATTTCCTGTGTGATTCAACACTAGCCTTTCAAGGAAATACTAATAGGCTTTCAAAAGAATAAATTCAAGGTCTTTGAAGGACCAGTTTGTGGAAGAAAAGACTGTTTTTGTTATTTAATTGACTCTACATAGTCTAGAATTCAAGAACTCTTATTTCAATTGTTTTAAACTTTAGAATGTTTTCTGAAATGTAAATAAATATGCCCTGTCTTTATTGTGTGTATATACTTTGAATGCAAGGTTTTCACCATTTATCTTAACATTCTCACTATTTATTAAAAAGAATTGTTTAAATTAACTATTTGCATTAGTTGCAGTCTATGATCATAAATCTAAAATAATGAAGTTTAGTAAGTGATATTTTAGTGCTTCTAGTGACACTTGCATTTCCCATGATGGAAACATTAGTTAAAATGACATCAGTGTTTAGAAGAATCTTCTTGTGTGATTCCTGACAGTGTAGTTTTTCTACTTTCAGCTGTTCAATTGTAAATGCTTCCCAACGGTCAGGTAATCATGGTATAATCAGTTCATTCTAGGAGATTTTCTTGTTGTCATGACTGAGCTATCGCTGTGAAGAGCAAGGTGACTATAATTTTTTTTCTCAAGGGTACAAATAATTTTCTGTTGCTCCAGTGATCGAAGAAATGCCAGATCTCATCATGCAGTTCATGTACTTCTGTTTTAGGCAGACTAGAAAGATTACTTTTCTCCATCTTTTTCTTTCCAGGGACAGAAGCAGCTGTGACTTCAATTGTTGGACTTTACCTTCAAACTCAAAACCCTGGAATATGTCCTATTCCATGTTTTTAGATATTAGATCCTCTACCTCCATATGAAAAAATGCCAAAAAATAGCCAGTTTTAGACCTGGATCATCCACTGGAAGTATTAGAAATATTTGTAATTCCTAAAATATCAAAATTAGGAATAAGCCATTCATTTAGTTGGAATTTCTGGAAGTCTGTCAATATACTATGAAAAAAGACAACTAGACAAAAGAAATAAATGAAGGGAAAGAATTTTAGTCATGGAAATGTTTTAATAATGAATTAGTGGACTCTTTATATCCCTGCTGTGTTAAACTTTTAGGCTATGCAACCAAGTAAGTATTTCTTCATTAGTACACATAGAGGCAGTAATCAGTGCTAGGAATCACTCTATTAAGTTTAAGATTCCACTTCAAATTATTCTCTGCTACAGTTTCCAGTTTCTCCATCTTTTTTTTTTCCATTATGGGAGTTTGAATTCAGGGGCTCACATTTGCTAGACAAATACTTTCCCACTTAAGCCATGTTCCCAGTCCTTTTCACTTTTAGTTTTTTTTTTCAAATAGGGTCTTATGCTAACTTTACCCTGGCTGACCTGTTCTCCCTTCTGCCTCCTGAGTATCTGGAATTCAAGTGTATAATATCAATATCACTATATTAATTTGACCTCTCCCTTAGTACACATTCAATAAAACTATCATAATTTAACAATGGTCCAAGCAGAAAATCAGAACTGCCCATCCTAGAACCAGAACCAGTATATTTGAGTTAGGGTGAGAGAACAGAAAAGGAAGGAAAAAATAAGATTGGAGGTGAAAGGAGAAGGATAAATGAAGAAGAAGATAAAAATATTACAAGTCTCAGTACAAGAAAGTTTATTCCTCCTAAAGCATGTATAATGTCAATATGGGGTTCTCTTTTCTCCTTCTGTGAATGTGGACTCCAGAGACCACAGTCTTTCTCTGTTCCCTCAAAGCCTGGCATTTATCGCAGCATCACAATGAGAAACTTTGACATAGATGTCATTGTTTTCATTGAGGATTCTGATTGCAGGAGTAACAATGAGACCTTGACAAGTAGCATATTGGCAGTGACAATCCAAAGGAGCACAAAAAATATCCAGCTAAGAATTCAATGCATAAAACAGTTGATAATCAGTTGATAATCAATAGATACCTCAAATTTAACTTGGGGTGAATGTTACTCCTTATCTTTTCTCTAACAGGATTTATCAATACCCTATCTATCTCAATTAATGTTAACTGCCACATTCCTAATTGCTCAGGTGAAAGAACTTGGAATCATACTTGCTTCATTTCTTCGTATTGCTTCCTATACCTATTTTGTCAGGAAATCTGTTGACTCTACTTCCAAAATATATCTAGAACCTAAGGGTTTCTTACCTACTATATCTTTGCCATAAGCCACTTACCATCAATTCCTTTTGCTTCCACCTGTATCCTCCCATGTTCTATTTACAACACAGTGGCCAGGGTAATCTTTTTTAATAGACGTTTTAGAGTAGTTTTAGGTTCACAACAATACTTATCAGAAGGTAGAGATGTTTCCCATATACCTCTGTTCCCACATATGTATACCCTCGCCTATTATTATCAACCTTTACCAGAGTGGTGAATTTGTTTCCACTGATGAACCTTCACTCACAAGTCATTATCACTGTTGGTGTTGTACATTCTGTATATTTGGTGAGTTTATAATAACATGTATCCACCATTGTGACATCACATGAAGTAAGTTCAGTGCCTTGAAAATCCTCTGTGCTCTGCCTATCCATTCCTCTCTCTCCTCTAATTCTTGTCAACCACTGATCTTTTTACTCTCTCCATAGTTTTGCTTTTTCCAAAATATTGTATAGAGAACTGGAATCACACAGTGTGCAGCCTTTTGAGTTTGGCTCCTTTGATTTCCTCATGTGTATGTAAGTTTCCTCTGTTTCTTTTTAAGGCCTTTCAGGTTTTTTTTTTTTTCAGTGCTGGATAAAATTCTATTGTCCAGAGGTAGTATCATGTATTTATTATTTTACATACTGAAGGACTTCTTGGTGCTTCTAAGTTTGGGCAATTAGAAATAAAAAATGCTATCCATACGCATGTACAGATTTTTGTGTGGAAATAAAATTTTAACTCCTTAGCACAGCTGTTGGATTGTATGTTTAGTTTTTAAAGAAATTCCCAAACTATATTCCCCAAGGTCTGCACCATTTTCTAGCTCCCCAAGCAATGAGTAGAAGTTTTTTCTTGCTCCATGTCTTTTCCAGCATTTAGTATTGTCCGTTTTCTGGATTTTCACCATTCTAATAGGTGTGTAGTGGTATCACGTTGTTTTAATTTGTATTTCCTGGTAACATATGGTATGGAGAATCCTTTGTTATGAAGAGTAAGCTTTTTACAATATTGAGAAGATCATGCCCCTCTGGTAAACTCTAATATTACTTCACCTCAATCAGAGAAAACACCAAAGCATATACAACCTGTACTCTTCTTGGGTTCCTTTCTTTTTAAAAATTATACAACAGTCGAAAATTTTTTTGTTGTGCTGGGTGGGGGTACATTGTAGCATTTACAAAGGTTCTTACAATGTATCAAGTGTATCATATTGGGTTTCCATTCTTAAGACTCTATTATTCATTTGCTTCAGGAACTGTCCTTAAATCTGCCAGGTATTGTCCTATCCCCCTCTTAACTACTGTTTCTCTTGTTTGCAACAACCTTCCCACATATATCAACATTGCTTCATCCCCTCAACCTTATTTTATTCCTTTTTTCTTTTTTCCAAAAGTTATCTGCTCATTAGGGCCCATTCTTCTTACCCTACTTTAAGTTACAGCTTCTCCCAACCCTGGCAATCTCCACCTTCTTATCCTAAATACATTTTCCTTTTTCCATAATACTTAAATGATACTACATGCTGAATTCTAGTCATAGATTAGTGTTTGTCTTCTCTTGATAGAATATAAATCAATGAGTGGAGGTATCATTATATTATTCACTGATAAAATATACCCTGAATGGCTGAAGCAACTCACCTGGTACTTAGCATATATTTAAAGGTAGTTTGCAAGTAACGTTCCTTGGTCAAGAAACTTCCCCAAATAACTAAACAAGTATTTAATGAGGATAGGCCTCATAAGTATGAGCCTGAGTAAAAGCCAGGGATGGGTGACTTAGTGTTGTTAACAAAATCTCAGCTGTGTACACTGATGAGCAGTTTCTGAACAAGCTTATGTCAATGTACTGTACTGTAATGATGTATGTGTAGGGTTATGATACAGAAATTACTTTCACTATCAGATTTTATTCTCATGACAATATTGTGACCTGGCTCTTCCTAATTCCAAATTATACATGGCAGACCAAACATGTCTACTCCCTTCAGAACCCTACAATGATTGCAGTGAAGGAATAAAAATGTATTTAGTTCACAAGAATTATGAGAGTAGCAAAAAGATAATAGAAGTAAGTTATCCATAAGATCTTAGTACCTGGAAAGATTAATTAGATGTATACAGCTGGTAATTAAAATTGACATAATTCAGTAATATTATTGCACATGGGTCACACACCAAAGGAAAAACATGCATGGGAGAAACTGGGAAAGGAAAGGAAACCTAAAACTTGAATGTGGTTGATGTGCTCCCTGTACAGGCCACTATGGGAAGGGAGCCAGGAAGTAGCAAAAAGGCCTGGTAGAGACGAACCAATGTGGATTGCAATACACGAGTGCATGGAAGCAATGCTAGGAACCTCAAACTAGGAAGGGGGTGGGGAAGGTGGCACAAACAATGTATACACATGGAAGTAAATGTAAAAATGATAAAATGAAAAGGAGAAAAAATCGACATAATTGACTGGGAGTTTCAATTTCTCCAATTTGCTAGAGAAGAAACTGAAAATAAGCAATTCTAAGCTGAACCAATCCAGAAACCCCCAAGAATTAGAGACAGGAGAGTTGAAGAAAATTCTGAACATGACAATGAAATTAATCTACCTGAGACAGCAGAGACCTCAAGAAAGGTACCAGCTCCAGAGACAATATGGTACCCAAGGGTTGCAGGTGGATGAGAGGAATGATCACAGAGAAATACACAGTGTAAATGTGGTCCTCGAGTACTGGTTGATAAGTGGAAATGAAGGAAGGAAATGAAGAAGACAATTACTAAGTATATGAAAAACAAAAGTTGAAATAAGTAAAATTATTAATCTATGAATGATGTAAATAACATTGTTTATATGGTTAGCTATGAATAATACAAATAATATTTCTTAAATTAACTGAAATAATAAAATTAATATTTTAAAACTGTGTGTTATTCATATTGTCACAGTATGCAGAGGGAAAGAATTTATGGATGAAGGTGGCACAATGTAATAAGAAACCTACATCCTAATCTCAGATTAGGGAGAGTCAGTAAAAAGTACATAAAACTAAAGAAAAAATCAAGTAGCAATAAAACATGCCAATTGTAAATTAGGCCATAAATATCTAAAATGAAACACAGAAATTTGATATTTTTTTGTCTTAAGACATGGAACTCAAAGATGATGATATGTGGGATAAGACAGAATGGAGAAGTATTGATTTTTAATCATGAGTCACTATGTGACTTTAATGCTAAATGCATGCTTACTTTCATAAGAACAAATACACAAGTAACAACTCGATATTTGGCAAAGTTATAGCTTACAACTGCAAGCTAACACGGGAAGTCATAGTATAAGATGGGACTATAGGTGATTTTATTTTTCACACATACTTTGGGATTTTTGCAATGTTCAGTCATGTGTCTATATAACTTGTAGAGTTGAAACCTCAACAAACTTTGTTTTTAAATACTTGAGATGATAGATATGCTAATGTCTGATCATTGCACACAGGTGTCAAAATATTCTGTACACAACAAGTATGTACAATTCTTATACATAAATTAAAAATAGTACACAAAATATTATATATAATATTTCATTTAACATATGAGAAAATGTAGTTTCTGGAAGAGTATTTAACTTGCCCACTGCGTCTAGCAAATTTGCATGAGAGACAAAACTAAAGGCTTAATATTCTTTTCTTTCCAATACTG